ACTGTGGGTAGAGTTTACAACATAAAAAAAAAATGTCCCCATTTCCTAAATAATAAAAAATTATTGATATTAAAAGCAAGCATTGCCAATAAATGGAAAGCAAACCTTTCCTTATAAGATATCTAGTAACTAAGTATAACAACCAACTGCAATGCACGTAGCCACTAACCTTGTATAGTTCATCACCGGTGATTTCATACCGATTTTGAGCCCCAACAACAATCGGAATATGAGCATTTGAATGAAAACCAGAGAGATCATCAGCCTACACAACAAAAAATAGGGACAGTAGTGTTGAGCAATAATCTATTCAATAGATAAATGCACACAAGATAGGGAAAACCTCTAACAGCTTATTTAGTACCTTCATTGCAAGTAATCCTAAAAAGCATGGTTTATCAAACAGATGAGCCAGCAATAAATGCTTCTGATCACCCTGTAAACAACCCAAAAAAGTTAAAGAGTTAAGATCCGAGCAGCAATGAGTGAAGAAATGGATTGTAGAACTTCAACTACTTTAAATCTGTAATATGCAAACGTATTTCAATAATTAAATTATCTTAGCTTAACATTTGTATCCTTCTCAAAGAGTATATGTCAGCCACACCAAATAATCAACAAATTATAGTCGAAGCAAATTTATAAGGCACATTATCATTCTAATTAGAATGTTCCTTAATAAACATAAAAAACCATGTTAAGCTTAATTTTGCTATATGTTTTCTCTTTTAAATTTTTTTAAACAAGACAATCATCATGCAACTTAGGTCTGGCCACTAGTAATAACTTGTGAAAAAAAAAATAATAAATAAAAATAAAAAATAACCAACCGTGACGGTGTATAGCTTATAAAGGACATCATTCATGCCACCGGTCTCTTCATTTTGTGCATCATACAACCGTTTAATAGTGTACTGCTTTACTACATTTTGAGCTCGAAGGTAAAAGTAATTAGCCATCGACGTGACCATCTAGCTTGAGTGTTATTAGCAAAGTTGTATTGATCCAAGAGCCCTGTCATAACCTGTCAATGATATAAACAATATCTACCGTTAAAAGAGATTAAATGAAAGAAATTAAATCATCTTATAAATCTATAAGAACATGCAATCCGTACCATGTGAATAGTGTAGTACGGTGCCCAAACGTATTGCAAAGCTTCATATCTGTCAAAACATTAAATGACGAATTTGCTTATTTTGTAAGTAATTGTTCATGGATTAGTCCAGCCCACTTGTCAAATTTAACCTCCAAAAGGCCTTAGATTAGGAGGCCAATTCACTTCTTCAGCCTTTTTATTTTTTAGCTCCCATGTTATACTTCCTCCGTTCCTATTAATATTGCAACAAGGAGGAAATCGCACATCCCAATGCACATTTTATATGCTAAATATCTATAATTGTGTAAGATTAAAAATTATAAAATGTTGATATTGTGAAAGTATTTTATGAGACGAATCTAACAAAATCTCACATGACTATATTTTGCTTAACGTATAAATCATACTCCATAACTTGATTTGGAGTAATGGCAATTTGGCAAACTGCTTACATGACAAATAATTTATATTGTTAATCATGATTGAAAGGTATGTAACACCCCCTAATACGCATCCGAAAACTTCATCAAATTTTGATAAATGCACTGTTTAATAAATTATTTATTTATTTAATATACTCTGTATATAAATAAAAATAAAAAAAATAATAATAAAAAAAAAAACTTTTAGATAAAGACATTTATCATACAGTCTTTCTAACAAGTTTTCAAGTTAAATGGTTAAGCTTTATGCATATTTTAAATGGAGTATGTGGCTATTTCATTTGGCAAATATATTACGCAGTATATAATAAGAGTTTTGATAGGGAAGTGAACCTACAAGTAAAGTTATTTCGAATTAAGTTTTGTTTGATACTGTTAAGTATGAAACTTATTTATAATATTTCAACTCGATTACATAGAATGTGGTAATGTCTAACAAGGGTCATAATTTCACAAAACACTCGTTAAAATAACCGTTTCATATTATATAAGGCCCTTGTCTTTTGTTTTGCCTAGGGTCCATATATGAAATATCCCCAGATGATTAGTAACAAAATTATCATTATAAATGATATGATACACACACATTGTCCTTTATAATAATAATTAAATTCTTCCATTCCTCCAATTATTTATATAGTCATTACTAATCTCAAGAAGATGACGTAACTTTCATGGACATTCATAACAGAAACGTGACCCAAAATCTTCTATATTCCCGTTTATAACTAGTTTTTCAATTATTTTTTTTCTTAGTTTAACCCAAAATTTCCATTAAAACTGAAACTCTCTTGACCTTCCTTTTCAGTTTGTATGTCAAACTATTCCGGATCTGTCAATCCTTATAAATTACTTATAATTGAAAAATTGCTTCAATTTCTCCTCAATTAAATCATGGTTACTTGTCAAATTAAATCACTTTGTTAATTATTATTATGGGTAAGTTTTTGTATATTTTTCCAGTACATGTATTTTTTTACTCATAATTTTTTTTTATTATATTTTTTTATATATATAGAATTTCAGTTTTAGTGTCTCGAACAGATTTCAGTTTTTTTTTCGTTGGACTTGAGAGTTTTTTTTTAAGGGACATTGGAATTAATATGAATGACAAAATAATTTAAATCAACTATTATTACGAAGTATTTTTTATAAGGCCTTATTTATAAGAATAGCACAGGCCCCTAAATTGGTTAAGACGGCCTTGCATACATCATACATATAATTAATAACAGATTCCAAATGAACAAGATGAATAATATGAAATCATATACTGACCTACAAAATGGCCTCGAACCTCGCTATCAGATGCTTCCCAACCACCATAAGGAGTTCCTGGTGTTGGCAAACCAGCAGTTTTTCTGAAACTCCATACCAAGCTATCGACATTCAACAGCAACAAATACTCCAAATTTGTTTGTTGTGCTCTCCCATAAAACGATTGAGGGTCTAATCTCACATTATGAAGTGGAACTTCGTTAAGAAAATTACCCTTTAAATTATGTTTAGAGTACTTAATTTTCTTGTACAAAACATTCCAATTAAATTCATCTTCTTGCCTCAATAATAGTTTCCTAGGAATTAAATTAGACCACGCAACTTCATCAGTTGGGGTTAAATGATCATGATCATCATGATTATGAGACATAATTTCTCGCTTCCAAGTCTCATTTTTTGATGTTAAAAATTCATATCTTAAAGTTTTTGTTGATAAATTGGTGATAGTATTACCACACTGCTTTACGCGGCTAAAGCTAAACCCAGGTAACAAAATCAAGAAACAAAAACAAGCTAATAAAACGTGATTTTTTAACAAAAACCCATTTTTAAAAAAATCAAAATCAAAACTAAGATATTAAATTTCAAAAAAGAACAGTCACCCAAAGCAGAGGAAGTGGTGTAGAGAAGAGTGAGAAAAAAATCACAGATCAATGTTACTTTTTTGATTAACTAAAGTAGTTTTTCAGTAGAATGTTACAATACAATACATCACATTATTTGGTATTTATAATATAACCAACTGATTACAGTAGTGTTATTAGTTAATTTATCTTATCCTTTTATCGACTAACTTAATCAGTATATATCCTGAAGATAATGTAACTACAACTCATTTTAATAGGGAAATACTATCTATATCTACTAACTTAATCAGTATATGATGAGTTGATGACATGTAAAATAGGGAAATGCTATCTATATCTATAAAAAAAAAAAAATTACATAAAAAAAATAAAATTATGATGGATAACATGGATTTTAAAAATGTTTATTCTAGTTTTAAAAACATATATATTCTGAAGATAATATAACTACAACTCATTTTAATAGATAAATACATATTTTTTTTTTTTTTTATTTTATTTTTTTTTTTTTTTTTTTTTTGTAGATGACACTATTTTATCTCATTTCTAATGTAATCATTTTTGTGAAAATTTACCTACATTGATTTAAAATTATCTTAGATATTGGTATATTAGTTAGGAAAATCATAATATATCTTAATTGATAATGTTAATTTTATTGTACAGAGTTGGTAGACTTGAAATGAAACAAATTTTGGTTCAATGTCAAAGATATTTTGGTACTCTTAAATAGTGTTATTAGTTAGTGCGAGAGATTATAAACATACGTCCATTATACTTTTGGATACTTTTAAATAGTATTACTAAATTCAAACTTGAAGCTTACTAGCATTATTATTGTATGAAGAAGTACTTGACAAAAGTGGAGAGGGTTCAATTGGACCAGCGCACCAATTAAATAATAATATCTCCAATTAAAAATAAAGGATAAAAAAATTGAAATGCTAAATACCGCCGTCCAAATTTATCGCCACCGCCATCATTTCGAGCAAAGTGACAATTTTGCCCTTATTAAACCCAAATTCATTTTTCAGCCTTATTTTTTTCTCTCCCCTCAAACACCAACCACTCACCTTTCTTACCACACGACACATATTTGAGAATTACCGGGAAGCAAATGGCGGCGAGCTCAAGCAGTGATGGCGACTACGACGGCGGAATGGGTGGAAAGGAGGTAAATAGTTTCCATTTTTTTTATGTAATAGGTGGCTGGTAACCAAGGGTGAAAATCGGTTTCCAGATAACCGGCGACCAAATTCAGTTGACTGCAGCCGTTAACCGGTTTTCACCTCTGGTTACCAGCCACCATATTAAAAAAAAATTTTTGAAGAAAACTGACCCATTTTTTAATTAAGCTCCGGTAACCGGTTGTGGCCTCCGGTTACTGTGGATGGTAACCGGTTTTGGCCTCCGGTTACCGTCCACGGTAACCGGTTTTGACCTCCGGTTGACCGTGGTAACCGGAGCCCAAATCCGGTTACCATCCACGGTAACCGGTTTTGACCTCCGGTTGACTGTGGTAACCGGAGCCCAAATTCGATTACCATCCACAGTAACCGGAGGTCAAAACCGGTTAACGTGGAGTTGCGGTTGACCCCCGATTCTTTTTCCGTCGAGCCGCCTCGATCACCATCCATTTCTCATCGACTTTCGCGGTCGTTGTGGCTGTTCGGTGTAGAAGGTGGTGGTTGACACGGTTGTGGTTGATGGACTAATGTTAGAGAATGAAATGGAAAAAAAAAAGTTAGTAAGGGCAATATCGTCAGTTTGCTTGAAATGATGGCGGTGACGATAAATTTTAACGGCGGTATTTAACACCCCAAAAAAAAATATAATAAAATCTTCCGTTTAGTTGCAAAGACGGGAACGGGTATTTTTTTGGGGGGTGGGGGGAATTTTGCGCCAAAATGCTGCTGAGGTCATTGCTTTCCCAAAATTGAAAGAAAAGGAAGAGAGAGAAAGCTTCAATCTTCAACTCTTCAACCAAAACTTCAACAAAAATACAAAGAACGATGAATCTAAGTTTTCAAGCTGCAAAACTTAGGACTATGGCAAGTTTTCGATTTTTTTATTTTATCAGTTTTTTACAAAAATGTGGTAGCTAGGGATTTGGGTTTGTTTTAGGTTCGGTCATTTTGGATAGATGAATTTAGGGTTTTTGGAAATTTTTGATTTTGGTGTTTGATTTTTCTGTTTTTGTTTGATGTTTTACCATTTAGAGCTATGATTTGAAGTTTCGAAAGTTTGGTTTTTGTGATAATGGGGTCATTTTGATTTATTTTTAATTGTCAGTCTCGTTGATTTTAGCCTGTTCGAGCTTAATAGTGATGGGTTTTTTTCACTTCAATTTGAATTCTTTTAGGGACATTTCTGGGTATTATGTTTCTTGGACTTGAAATTATTGCTTTATTAAGAAATGGAGATCAACTTTTATGGTTTCCGACATAAGCTTGGATATTTGATTTAAGAATTCTAATGAGTGATGTTCACCAAGTGTGAGCTGATTTTCTCAATTGTACAAGTCTCGTTTCCGTGAGTCATTTTTATGTTAAATGATTAAATTTGATTGTTGAGCTTTACTGTGTGATGGCTGAATTAGTGTTTCTAGAGGAGATAATATACTGTACGATATCCAAGCATCTTTTTTGCTGACCATAATCAAAGTGTGATTTTATGATCTTTTGTTCTTGAGTTATAATGTTTCCTGTTCTTGAGATTATATAAACTAATTCTAAATCTTGTGGAATATATTGTATTGTTTTATTTAGATTAATGTGTATGCTACTATAAATGTTGGTTCTTATGTTAGTTTGACTTTTGAGTGAGGTAGAATGGTGGCATAGATTTGACTTGAGATATTATGGAATGATTATCTTTGATGATTAGTTTAAGGATTAGGATAGACCTGGCTACTCTATCAACTTATTTCGGGTAAAAAAAATTAGGTAATTGATGAGCACTAGCTTGTATGTCAACTTAGAGGGGAGCTAGGATAAACTGAATCTACAGCTTGTATGTCAAAGTCCAGACATAGTAGGGCATGTTGTATGTGTTAGTTAGAGGAATTCAGATCTTATTTTCTTGTTCTAATATTATTGGTAGCTAGATACTAGTACACTCTGGAGCTAGTAGAAGTCCTGCTAAGCAGGGGGATGGAATTGGAGTTGTATCCTAAATCTGTTAAATCTAAGCTGAAGATGAAAACGTAGGCGCATATGCGAAATGGGGTGCTTAAGAAGCTCAATAAGAAAAGAAATTGGAATTCTCTTCTTTGGTAGTGAGCCCTGGCAAGCAGCTGCTGAAGCAATCAGATCAGAAAAGGAAGGCTGAATCCATCAGAAGGAGATTGATTCATAAACCAGATGTTTCCGAAGGCCATCGAGTTGATTCTTCTAAGAAGAAGAATTGTGAAGAGAGTCGGGGTGATCGATCTTTATGCTCAAGTTCTAAAGGTAAAAATGACAGTGGGGGCTCACAAAGTTTAAGTTTGAAGAGAATGAGAAAACAGAAGAGAAAGAAAGATAAGGTTGCTCTAGATGAAGCTGCACAACTGCATCTCTTTACTTAGGGGACTTGAATGAAACCTGCATCTCTTTTCGTCTTTCTTATTTTGAGGCAAAGTGGTGGCTCTAAAATTGGTTAAATGATTTAGTTGATGTTATGATTTGCAGGTACCGGAGAAAAGAGCCCAATTGGTTGAACGTTCTTCAGCTGCAAGGATCCCTACAATGTGGGGGCCTTTCACAGCTTATTGTTACAAGTCAAACCTGGATGGCATATGATCGTCCCATTGCCACGACTCGTGTTGTTCGGAAATCCGTGGATAAAAAGGTTCCCGGAATCTTGAAGTTGAGCTGCTACGAAACCAGCTGTAGGATGAGTGACATTGGATGACCAAACAGTCTGATATTTTTGCATCAGAGACTTGCAGATTTCCGTCGAGTGATATCTTAAGTACACCCGAAGTATCAGTGAGGGGATTGTTCCTGTTAGCTATCCATACAAGATACAACTTCCATTTCAGAAGGGTGATTATACTATACCAGATTCCAACATAACGATTGGAAGAGTTTTGAGGGCTGAAAAATCCTAGCTTGAAAATGCTATTTTTAGAAAGCATTGATTCTGAGTCTTTTAGGAATTGTGTTGGTGTAATACTGTCAATTGCAGAGTAGATTTTAGAACTGAAAAGAAGAGTGTATGGAATTAATGCAAAAATAGGTATCATTCTTTGCTTAATTGATTATATCATGGAACATTTGGCAATTTAGAGATAATATAAGGGCTCTGAAGGTAAGTTGTGTGTGTGTGTGTGTTTTTTTTTTTTTTTTTTTTTTTTTTTGCTCAGAATTTCAGAGGTCTTTGGTGTTAGGCCTGTTAGCTCTTTGAGTGAAACACGTGAACTTATGAGTGCTTTAAACTAGTGGATGTTCTGGACTTCTAGTGTATTGGTGTTGTTGTTAAGGTTTGTATTGATTGACGACTATGACGAGTAGATTAAAATATTTCGAGTTTGACTAGCCGTATTGTTATATGATATGTGTTATATAAAAAAATCTTGATATGTATAAGATATAAACTTTAATAATTTTTACTAATCTGAAATCAAATATATAAAATGATCAAAGTCTTTTTATTGTTACATAGCAAGATTAATTCATATGCAAGATCATTCATGAGTTCATATGGAACGACATTAGTTGGTACTTGGGACACAACTTTCTCAAATTTTCTCTACACCAAAAGAAAGAAAACAAGCTAAATTATGCATTACATCTTGAAACCATATGAACATTACAAGGAACCTCTTTGGAATTAAATGTTGGAATGTGTTTCGGGTGAAAACAATGGGACCTTGTCGAAGGTCCGATGAAGTGGAGAAGACTGGATTCGGTCCAAGTGATGTTGGGCCGAAGGTTTCCTGCACAGTAAGCACACGTAAACTAGCCTCGGGGGTGTTGCCGAGGAAGGCCCCTCCGATGCTAAAGTCAGTACAGTGTGTAGAAAGAGAGCATTATGCAAGAGAATTAATTGCTTGAGGCTTTGTTTGAATGAATGTACAAATGTAATATTGATGGCTTTTATACCTTTGCATATATGGAGAAGTTGGGCCTTAGCCCAATTGGCTTGCCTTGAGGACTGATCTTTGACTTTAGCACAATTGGAGAGTTGAACCTTGACCTTGGGCTTTTAATTGGATCATTTAATGACTAGGCCCAATTGGACTAAATTGGACCCAAACAACTTGCCCCCCACACCCGATTTGGAAGGATGACGGGTCGGGTTTGATTTAATCAGAAAAGGAGGGAAGTGAATGATTTAATTAATCCAAAAAATTTGAATTTAAACCATAATTAATGAGATAACAACAGTTAAGGCGAATAATTGTGGAAGTTGGACGGATAATGGGCGGTTTAATCGCAAGGTCGTGTGTTTAACGGTTACTTAGTGAGGTATTTAAGAGAAATTGAAACGCGGACTCCCCGAATTCCCATTTCTGGAGATATAATTAGAGGCGCGTCATCTCTCCTCACTTATTCACCAACACAAACCCAGAATTCTCGAGAGAACCCAAGAACCCGCATCAAAACTTCGCAAATTCCCCGAGCATTAAGCTTAGAAACTGAGACTCGTCACTACCAATTCGTAAATCGGCAACTTTCGCTTCAGATTAAGGTAAATTCCTTTGATTTTAGTTTATTTTTCTTCGAATTTGAACTCCTTCCCCTTTTTTTTTCGACTTTTTCCTTCGAAATTCATCAATGGTGAGAGGAGTTAGAGGTAGAGCCCGTGCTCCAAGAAGAGCAAGGCCAATTCCCGATCCCAAGAACAGGATTGGGACCTGGAATGGACAGAGAGTAGAGCCTGACCCTACTGAAGGGATCAGGGTGACTCCCATTTCTTCGGCTCCCCCTCAGAGAACGGAGGGGCCGAGCGCTTCTGGACGGGATGATGAAGTTCCCGCTGTCCTTTGGGATATCCTTCCCGGGTTTTCGGAGTGGGAGGATGCCGAAGTAGCTTCGGCTATGATAAAGAACCGCCCCTACTCATGGTGGGTGGAGAATGCCGAACAGTATCGGTTTGCCGAACAGATTGAGTTGCATTACGGCATCCTTGAAGCTGATGGGTATTGGTGCCGAATGCCCGTGGCATCCGATAGAATCCATCGTCCACCCCCGGGGTATGTGGGGGTGTACACAAGACAACTTCAGTATGGGTTGAGGTTCCCTTTGGACGTATTCGTCCGAGACTTGCTGATCCATTACAATATTTCCCTATGTCAGCTAACTCCCATCAGCATCCGAAGGGTGATGACATACTTATGGGTCTGCAAGTTCTTCAGGTACGTGCCGAACCTGCACTGCTTCAAAAAGCTCCATCGGCTAGTGCCAAATATTCAAAGTGGGCACGGAAGTCACGGTTCTGGGTGGTACCGGATCGAGTCTCGGCCCCAGTACCTAACCATGTGGCCGTACGACTCTTCAGACAAGGACTGGAGAGGTCAATGGATTTGGGTTAGAGCACCCACGGACCCGAGCCACCCTTGCGTCTTCAGCGCTCCCCGGTATCTTGCTGAGCCTGATCCCGACATGGGAAGTTTAGGTCCCCTTGAAGATAACGGCCCAGATCCGAACCTTAATCAACAGAACATCTTCGGCAAGCTGCCGAACCGGGGGGGCAGCGGCCGAATGCAGCATATCCCGGAGACTTGGCTCCCCGATACGCATTATGTTTTCCAAGAGAACATGCTAGCAGCTGTCGGCCTCAGCCGAAAGTTTAAGGATGGTAAGCTTCTTCGGCTGGGGCCGAGGCCTTTTAATTATCTCTTTTCCTCCTCTTTCACTTCGCTCTTTTACGCTGTGCCAACCTAACTGAACTGACCTTTTCCCTCTTCTTTTTCAGAGCGGGACGAGACCAACGTCGGCATTAACTACGCTCGTCTTGGCGTCAACCGAGAACGAGTTGTAACTGATCGGGCCCCCTCTATCACCGAACCGAGGCATAGGGAAGTTCATCTAGACTCTTCCCACTTCCAAATTGAGGCTGTTGCTCTGTATCAGAGGCAGAAGCCTTGGTGGAAGAAGAGAGATCCCTGGTTTCAGCTGCTAGACGAAGAAGCTGAAGCTGCCCGTACGGCCGAAGAGGTTGCACGGGTTATCGAAGCTTGTGAAGGAGGAGAAGGGTCCTCCAGGGCTGCTGAAGAAGAAGTTGCAGCTAAGGCAGCTGAAGAAGACGAGGCTTTGCTGAAGACCTCGGTGAGCTTTTAGACTTAATTTTGTCTGTTTCTGTTTTTTTTTTTTGTACTCGCATTCTTCCTCCCCCGTCTTTTACAGTCCGAAGAGAGTAATAGACATAGAGAAGGGAAAGCCCCTGTTCGTCCCGAAGACCAGATACAAGAAGAGTCTTCAGACTCAGACATGGACGAGCAGCCGCTTCAGAAAAGGCGACGAAGAATGGCCATCATCAGCCCGCATGACTTTCAGCGGAGGTCGATGACCATCGGCGTCGAAATAAGGGAACCCGAGGAAGGCAATGGATCGCCGAGGGTTCCCCGGCCACCACCTCAATCACCTCCAAAGACCCCTCCGCCACCTCCCGAGATGGAGGTGGATCAGAAAACTCCCGAACCTAAGGGAGGGGTCCAAGAGGAAGTTCAAGAGAGTGCTGCTGAGCACAGGAATGAGGATGTCGTGATGCCTAGTGCTGAGGGTTTCACGGCAGACATTGCAAGAGAGGTTGAGGCCTTCGTCCTCAAACCTGAAGAAGAAGAAGTCATAATAATTGACTCTTTTAAGAAGAAGGGGGATGCCGAGCCATCCAAGATTAAAGAAGCTCCATCGTCATCCTTCCCTTCCTTCCAGACGCTGCAATCTGGAGAAATGGGTTTCTCGGCCCCTCGAATTCCAATCCCAGATCACATCTGGGACCTCATATGGGGCCAGAACCGAGAAGGTGCTGCAGCCTACTTCGGCGATTTTGCTGGGATGTCCGAAGTAGATAGGGCAAGAATCTGGTCGCTGAAGGCCACTGCTGGGATGGGCGAATCCAGCAGATCAGTTCCAGACCCAGCCAGGTCTAACCAACTGCTGATGATGCAGGTGATCCTCCTTGCCTTTATCTCCTTTTCAATTCAGCTTCAGTTATCATTATTATTATTATATTTTATGTTGACTTGTGCTCCTGTTTCAGTTCGTGCACAATCAGACTCTCACTGTAGAGCTGATAAATACCCTACAAGATAGGGTGGACGCTGCCGAGCACGACAAAAAGGTAGCTGAGGAGGAGTTAAAGCTTGCTAAGCTGAAGCAAGCAGCAGCTGAAGAGAAGCAGCAGAAGGGTGAAGAATATGAGAAAAGAGCTGCTGAAGCCCTTAAGACCTTCTGCGACGCTATGGAGAAGGAAGTTTTTCCCCCACTGATGGAAGGGGAAAAATTCCTTCAAGAGCACATGGGAGTGGACATCTCCAAGTTCAAGGCTACCATTGAGAGCCGAATACAGGAAGGAGCTGTTGCACAAGCTGAAGTGCAGCAAAAGCTGGAAGCTCTTGAAGCCAGTAGAATGGTTGCTGAAGAGATGCTCCAAGCCCGGAATGTCCAACTCTCAGAGGCTGCTGCTGCTGCTGAAGCTCAGAGAGCTAAGCTCCAAGAAACTGAGGATCAGCTGATGGCCAAAAAGGAAGAAGTGGCCCAGGCTCTACTCAAAGTCCGTGTCTATACCCAAGAAGAGTATGAAATGGGTTTCAGAAACGGGTTTAGGGTGTGCCGAAGGGTCTGCCTACATGCTGAGCCGAAGTTGGACTAGTCCAAATGTGCTGAATGGGTCCATGATCCCGAAGACCCTCATATGAAATATGCAACTCCAATAGAAGCTGAAATCCTTAAGGCTGAGGAAGCCGAAGAAGAAGCTGAGAGAATGGAGTTGGAGGCTGAACAGAGGGAAAGGGAGGCTCGGCAGAGTGCAAAGCCTGCTTCTTCTGCTGCTGGGGCTGAGACCACCATGGGGCCCAACAATGCTGATCAGTCTGATCCTCGGGCTGAAGCATAGGAACTCGTGCAGTCGTCTTCAGAATCTTGCGGTTCATCATGCGCTCAACTTTAGACTTGCCGCTTTCTGAATTTTTGCCTTGTTTGTTTTTTGCTTCAGCTTGCCTTGTCGTACAAACAGTTTATTTTTTTGCTTCTGTACGTATTTCGGCAGCTGTTGTTTTCCGCTTGTGGGCGACTGCCGATATAGTTTTTAATTTGTTTGAACTTGTAGCTCAATTTCTGAGCATGAATTATTAAACTGATGTTCTTT